TGGGGAGGGGTTGAGAGTAACTGGGAGCAGAAAGGACAGGCAGATTATACGTCTCAACCTCGGCCAGATAAAGGATACCAACGTCTACAAATCACCCTGTGGGATCACTGAGGAGGGAATACACAGTGGTTACAAATAGATCCAGAAAGGGTGAGAAGCTCAGGCACAATGAAACAGCAAGATAACAGGAATAACATCAGAGGAAACAGAGGAGAGCAGCCCCATGTATAACAGGAAAGAAAAAACATACAAGAGTGGTCACAAGAAATGGGAAATAAAGTTTGGTTTTCATTTTTTTCTCAATACATTTGAATTGTTTTATTCTTTTTTCTAGCCTTCCTATTTTGTCAAAGCCTTTCCAAGTACATTATACGTTTCATATCTTCAAAATGCTTTGGGTTGCATGTACACTGGACAGCTTTACTCCTGCTTGTTTCTTCTCTCTACCGCTCATACTGCATACACACTCAAATATATAGCTTACAATATCCTCAGTCCACAGAGAGTAAGAGAATTTAGACACAGGTGGGATAACCAGGGGGCTGCCCGCAAACAGCTGCAGATTGAGAGTAGCCGTTAGTACAAGTGGCAAGTGCTCACACCACACACACACACACACACACACACACACACACACACACACACACACACACACACACACACACACACACACCACACACACACACACACACACACACACACACACACACACACAACACACACACACACACACACACACACACACACACACACACACCACACACACACCACACACACACACACACACACACACACACACACACACACCCACACACACACACACACACACACACACACACACACACACACACACACACACACACACACACACACACACACACACGATGACAAGGGACACAGTGATCTGGTGCTGACAGCTGGACGTGAGGTGATGGATGGGTCAGTGTACAACAGCATGGTGAGCGGCGGTATGCAAAGGGGGCCACAGTTGACTGTCTCTAAGCAGGCCTGATAGGGGTTATTTATACCCTCCTCATCTGTCACCTTCTCGTTCTGACAACGAGAGGAAAATGAAAGACGGCTTAGAGATATAAGGGAGGAAAATGGAAGGAACAAAACTAGTAGTCTTGGAAAATGTGAAATTCATGATGTACGACAAATTGCTTTCTGCTGAGTGTCAGTGCCACTGCAATTATGTATTTAAAGGGAATCGGCAAATCATAAAACTGTCTGAAAACCTTAATGTTGTTTGTAGAATAGGCTGTGGAAAATCATCTCATTGAAGCTGTTCCAAATGCTGAATGAACCAGATGGGTCACATGCTTTTGACAGAATACTTCCTCTCTTCTCAGTATCTGTTGCTTTGTGTGTTCCTCTCTCTCAGGTGAGTGACTCCGGTTCAAAATGACCGAGCGCTACGACTGCCACTACTGCAAGGAATCCCTGTTTGGGAAGAAGTATGTTCTGAGAGAGGAGAATCCTTACTGTGTGAAATGTTACGAGAGCCTGTACTCCAACACCTGCGAGGAGTGCAAGAAGCCCATTGGCTGCAACACCAGGGTAAGAGATGTCACAAAATACACTTTATATACGAGCCACAACAACACGCGCTTTCTGTTTAATTCTGTCCTTAAAACCATCAAAGCAGGCTGTTTCTAACTATCTGTCTGATGTTCTCGCAGGATCTGTCGTACAAGGACCGCCACTGGCACGAGGAGTGTTTCATGTGCTTCCAGTGCAAGCGCTCGCTGGTGGATAAGCCTTTCTCCACCAAGGATGAAAAGCTCCTGTGCACCGAGTGCTACTCCAATGAATATTCCTCCAAGTGCCACCAGTGCAAGAAAACCATCATGCCAGGTAGGAAGACAGAAAAAGTGCCACATATTAAAGTGTAACCACAGGTAGTAGACGCAACACGTAGGAAAATCCAATTTCTGATATGAAACAAGCACAAACTCAAAATTGCATGTGCAACGACTAGACACTTGCATCTCTAGGGAGTCCACAACAAAGGGTTCAAGAGTTATAAAAAGGGGGCGTGTCTTAATTGTAGGTTGCAAATGAAAAATGATCAATGCTGATTGCAATGATGCCTTAATATATAACAGATTGGCCATGGTACGACTAGATGATATGCCCCTATTTATCTCACCACCACAAACTGATTTAGACAATTTGGAATCAACACAAAACTTCACAAACACATATTTCAGCATTTTAGGAAAAAACTGATTCCACCAGAGGGTTGGGAAATGTTTGTGGATCAACTTAACAACTGAGCTATAGAGCAAAAACAGTCAAGGTATATCTTTGAGCGTCAGAAAGAGAAGAGTCTGTGAATGCTTTGCACATGACCGCCTTAAATATAAAGGCTCCTAAATGTTTCCGTTATGTTTGACCTATATGTAACAAATGAGTGTAACTTTGTTAGGTGACATGTGCAGAGCAATTGTTATATCAGTCTTGGACCTAGTCATAGTAACTAGGTATGTTATTGAATTACAGTTTCTAGAGAATCGTCTATTTGCTAATTATTACGTTAAGTGAGCCAAGCTCAGAGGAAATGCAAAGAGGCTACATTTAGATATAATGCAGTTAAGTGTTAGTTAATGTAAGGAAGAAATGTATGTGCAAACAGTTAAGTCTTTGTTAATTGGATAATTCATATCCTGCAAGACTCCTAAAGACGTCATGAGATGATGACCTTTTGACATCTGGAACATGTTCAAGTTTAGGAGACCTGACAATGTGTGTGCGTTAAACATGTTTAGGGAACGTGTTCGTGTGTCATTTAGAAAACGTATATCTGCCCTGTGTTTTCTTGTATTCGTGGGAGCTGTATGATTGCTTGAGGGCAGGTCATGTTTCCCCATTGTTGTTTGGTGGTGCGCAACTAAATAATAATGATTAATCTCAACTATTTCTGTGTTTGTGTTTTATTGATTCCTCTCGGTTTCATTCTTTCCTGTTGTGAGAGTTGATTTGCCACAACACAATCAGTCAGGACACGTCTGTCTGAGCACCATGGGAATATACTGTCCCCATTGTTTTAGGCTAAGTTTCTGATGCTTTCTTTTGGTTGTCTTTGCATCCTTTCACTAACTCCTTCACTGTTGTGTTTCTCTGAAGGCTCCAGGAAGATGGAGCACAAGGGGAACAGCTGGCATGAGACCTGTTTCACCTGCCAGAGATGCCAGCAGCCCATTGGCACCAAGAGCTTCATCCCTAAGGACAACAGTAACTTCTGTGTGCCCTGCTACGAGAAGCAGTTCGCCATGCAATGTGTGCACTGCAAGAAGGTAGGAACCAAGTCCTCAATTCTCCATCTAAACTCAAGGAGCAATGATTCCACTTGTATGTGTAACAATATGACACGCTTGTTCCCTCTCATCAGCCGATCACCACTGGCGGTGTGACCTACCGTGACCAGCCCTGGCACAAGGACTGCTTCCTGTGCACCAGCTGCAAGCAGCAGCTGTCTGGCCAGAGGTTTACCTCCAGGGATGACTTCGCTTATTGTCTCAACTGCTTCTGCAACCTCTATGCCAAGAAGTGTGCCTCCTGCACCACCCCTATTAGCGGTAATCACAATTTATATCATTATGCATGGGTCTCCTTGAATCTAAAAAGGAGTGTTTTATTAAATACTTAAATGCGTGGACTTGTTCCTATCCTTTCAGGCCTCGGAGGCAGCAAGTACATTTCCTTTGAGGAGCGCCAGTGGCACAACGACTGCTTCAACTGTAAGGCGTGCTCCGTGTCTCTGGTTGGCCGTGGCTTCCTCACCGAGCGAGATGACATCCTGTGCCCAGAGTGCGGCAAGGACATCTAAATCAGTCTGAAGGAGAGGAGCACATCCAACTGGTGATAGAGGAATGACAGAGATACAATATATACCTATATCAGAGCACACCGCATAGCATCTTTAAAACCTAGCATTACTATGAATTGTTACATGCCACGAAGTACAAACTGCTAACAGCCTTATTTGGATTTAGAAAGTTTATTTATGTTAAATGTTAACTCTAAGAAAAGTTATCACAAATAAAATAAGTGTTGGCATTAATGTGAAGACCTTTGCTTATTGAATATGAAACAGCAACCAGTTTGCAGATAGACACTGAATAAAGCATTTTGAAATAAATCTACAATAATTATATAGCCTATCCGCTTTGACGTGTTAATTATTATTGCTTTGTGCATGGACTAGCTTGATGTGAATGAGTTGTGCTTTTACCAATTAAATATATTAAAGTGTGTCTTTACTCTGATTACTGCCCACTGTAGCAGTGCACGAAACCACATGTATTTCACACAAACAAGGGTTTATTTAGGCAACTCTTTTAATACAAAACCTATGCAAGATTGGCGAGTCTTAGACGTCTTAAAAGGAATTTAATATTTTTTACAACAAGGTTAGTTTAAGAGTAAGTTAAGTATTGTATATGTTATCATACCGGCATATCAGACATGAGTCACAAAGCTGCAGAGTTTCTATTATTAGAATCAAGAAAATATTCATTGTATCGAGACATTTATTTTAAAAACCGTTAGTACAAACATGACACTTTTTGACGATGGACTAAAAATGCTGTGTGACTCTTGTATCTACAATTCTAAATAAATATACTTCAAAAAGACAATATTGCTGCTTAAATCCATATTCCTTTCTTTTGTTGAATTATTAAAACATGATATTGAAACATGTGAACATTTCTTAGCAGCGGATTACTATTGAGACGATTAGAAAATTATTTTACCTCCGATGTTAAAGGTGGGGTAGGTACGTTTGAGAAACCGGTTCGAGATACACTTTTTGTTATATTCCATGGAATGCTCTTAACATCCCGATAGCAATGAATATCTGAAGTGCTTCGACAAAAAATCCATGAAAATATATCATCTGTGGAAGCCGTAATACTGTAAAAAGTACAACGGCAATCCAATCCGTTTAGCCGGGCCGGCTAAACGGATTGGATTGCCGCCCTGTCTGTCAGCCTTCCATCTCGCATTGCAGCAGTACTTCAACGACTCGCCAGCAACAGGCGGCCCCTTTCACCAGTCTGCTGACGTCATGTGCGTGCATGTGTGTTGGAGGAGGTGCTCTGTGAGGAAGTCTGAAGGAAGGGGCGGATTCTTTTCGGCTGTGTACTTTCAAATTTGAGTGCACTCGAGCCGGTTTCTGAAACTTACCTACCCCACCTTTAAGTGCAACATATGTACAATACCACACTAGAGTAAAAACCCTGAACAACTTGTATTACAGCACTGAGATTTAAATAAAGCCAAACATGATTGGAGAGGCGCTCATTGAGAAGAAATACATCACAGTTTTTTCCCCAGTTCCAGTTAAGATGGCAACAGACATGTTTTTGCTTTCCCTTATCATAATGATAAGTAAATGTTAAATTTGTATAGAGTAATGACTCCATCAGTGTGATAGTTTCTCTAAAAGCCCTTTCTGTCTGCCACCAAGTGCCATCCAATCAAAATAAAGGCCAATTTACAGCTAAAACAAAGATCTTCAACTATTGGGCAAAGAACAGGAAAAGTTTGCTAACTCCAGTTACCAAATAGTAACAATGGTAGATGTTTGCAGTTACTATCCGCAGCAGTGTAGAAGTTGACGGTGAAACAACCAAAGTTACCGGGTAAATCTAAATGCAGAGAAGCCCTCTTGTACTATCTAGCACTAGCTTAGGATGACGGCAAACACTGATCTGCATATTGGTTGTTAGGCTGTTGGCAGAAGTACGTGCACTTCGATTACTCCGAGCAACATTGGGAGTTCATTCAAACAGAACTTATTGGAATATAGGTCTTGATTTCTACCTAATGGTCTTCATAAGTTGCTAAATGTGTCGATAGTAGTAGGATACGGAAAGCAATCCAGTAGTCTTTGCGACAGCACAACCACAACACTATAGTTTAACTTGCCGGATGTGGACTGTGTGTTGTATGTAATTCATAGGGCATCAATTCTCTCTTCTGTTATCTTGTATTTTGCAAGAGCACCAACGCTGCATCAGATGGTTTACAATGATAACTGGTGCAAGCAAACATTTCTAAATAGTTGTGGTGATCAAATTCAACTCATTACACACTCATGTTTACCCCTTTCAAAGCAGTACTGGAAGCTTTCTGATCAAAACCAAATCTCTAAACTAAATAACAACAACTATAACTTCCATGAATGTTATTTCAGAAAACAAAAGTCATGTTACTTGTGTTGTCCTCTAGAAGGTCTTCAATTGATGGACTTGATGAGAGTTGCTGATAACGGATGGTAAGAGCACTTGAGGTTGTGGAAAGCAACGAGGAAACGTTTGACATCAGAAGCTGGAGGGTCTTCAGAGCACCGGCCTACCTGTTAGCTCTCAGACTGAAAGCTGTGACACATGAAGGGCAAAGAGGATTTTCACTCCGTTTGTGATTAGTGGGATGACTGTGACGGGAGAGCACAGATACTGGACCACAGCATTTGTTGGGAGGAGAGCGGTCTGTCCCGCAGAGTGTGAGCTCCCATCAGGTCTGTGGTAACAGGGGTCAGAGGTCAGGGCCACGTCACATGGCTGATCTTTTTCTTCGATTCTGGAGAATGCATTCCACCCTGAAGAGATTGAAGATTAGACAACTGGCATTACAAGAAGCAATGACAAAACATCAATATAACATCGATCAATGGGTTACTATCCAATAGTATACAATATCAATTACATTTGTAGATTAAAAAAAAGGGAGCGTCTATTTGCACCGGGGGGAAAATGGACACACGGCAGCTATTCAGCTATTTACACCCACCCAACAATAGCATTGTTAGCTACGTGGGTGTAAATAGCATCTGCCTTAAAATAATGTGCACATTAGTTTCTTAGCATAGACTGCAATTATTTGTGACCTGCTCTATAGAAGTCGCATTGACCCAAAGACACGTTTTGAGTTATATACACTGTTGGAAAGAGGAGATTCCTAGCGTTCTAATGATATCAGGATTGTTGTTGTACTCCAAATATTAAGCAAAATATGTCACATGATATAATGACTGTCACCGAGTCATCATTTTGAGAGAAAGGCCTTTAAGGTTTTCTCTTCTCTGGAATCCATCGATCTGATTGGTTATTAGCAGCAAATGATCAAAATACTACCGAGGGAGAATATTTTAGTTTGGATTACTGGTCTGGGGAAGCTCGCGAGTGTGTGTGTGTGTGTGTGTGTTTGTGTATTTTTGCGTTTGTGTTTGTTTCCCGGGGAAAACACTCAGGAGAAACACCGGCTGTTGTTATGCCTGCTGTGACGTCAAGTTACTCCGTTCTCCGCTTGTAATTATGCCGTCACAAGCTTCAAAGTTGTATTTATCATCTGAATTTGCCGAAACAAGTTTAATATTCTGAAAGCCAAGACTTTGTTTATTTGAAATCAGATGAAAACAAACTGTAACGGACCCTGCCGTGTTATCTATGATTACTCTACGCTTACATTCATAATGTCAGCCGGAGGGAGGCGCTGCAGAAGAGCAGAGTGGCGAGTGAGAGGTGTCATCTTCCCTTTACAAGCTTCAGACATGTATTTATCGTGTAATTTTGGAAATAAAAGTTTCATATTCTGAAAGCCAAGACTTTGTTTGTTTAAAATCAAACAAAACACCCGAACCCGAAAAACTATTTTTTTACACAAATCCAGGTTTATTTTGAAATGAGCCGTTGCGACCTCCGACTGATTTCGACAGAGCGGGTCACATTGAGCTTCAATTACTTTATTTCTTACAGTTTTTGGCCAAATTATTTGATCTCATTTGTCAATTTGTTGCAACTTTAAGAACATCATTGCGTTTTTCGTGTTGCTATGTTATGGGTCTACGTTTATGTTCATTTATACATACTATATTGTCTTTTCAATATATTGCATATCAAAAATTGCCTATTTTGTGAAAGTAAAAACAGTAACTCTGCATGAGATGACTGAACCTGGTTCCTACCGTGCTGTTTGCCTCCCGTTTGAGATGTGCTGTGTCAGTGCTGCAAAGACTGGATGATGAAGAGGAAGAGGAGGATGTGCTTCCTGATATCTTGCGGACGGGGTTGGACAGGTTCACAGCAGGAGGAGGTTTTAACCTGTCAGAGACTCCCGGTGACACGGCGGTTCCCTCTGGTTTCTTTACTTTCAGAGGGCCAGAGTGAGAGGAAGTGCCATCAAACACGATCAGAGGCCGTTTCCTGCTGTGGTCGTTACTGGAACTGGAAATGTAAAAACAACAATGAAAACAAAAAAGATCCATCAATCATTTGATCAGTTTCACAGTAAGGGTTTTGCAGCAGGTGTACAGGGAGACGTGTGTCTCACACTCAGATTATTCTCTTGCTTCTGCTGTGGTATTTTGTTGACTCACCGAGCGATGGTGGAACTAAGGCTGCAGCCACACGAGGACAAAAACGGCTGTTTGCGTTACTGTTTAGTGTCATATAGACCATTCGGCCACACGAGGACGACCGCATACGGCACTAAACGACTGAGGAAACGATAACGGGTCCCAAGGTGGATAGAACGGCATACGCAACGCTCTGGGGGGTCCAACAGCTCCGTGTGTGCGCCCTATACGATCATTTTCTGATAATGATTGCGCAATAGCCCCGCCTCTGCTGCTCACCTCCGCGTACCCCGCGCCATTGCTGATGTGTTTCGCCACCAACAACAACAATGGCGGATCGCAGAGTTGCTATCGTGCTCCGGACGCTACTGACCATGCTACAGTTCTTTGTGCAACATCTACAGCAGACTTACACATCCGGGGGGGATCTTACTCGCTGCTTTTGTGGATATGTACTGCAGCGATCATTTTCTGATAATGATGAGGCAATAGCCCCGCCTCTCCCCACCTCTGCTGCTCACCCCCGGGTCAAAGTAAACTGCACACTGAATTCAGATTATTTATCTTTCTCTCGATATGGACATAAACGCGAGTGAAGTCTAATCTGACAGGACGGAGACACCTCTCAAACTACCTAAACTAGTTATAAATATGTTTATTTTTTCTGTCGGCTGGGTCACTCATTACTGGATCAGCTGCTGCATGAGACAGTCACTGACGCTAGAGTCGTTATTCATTTGTTTTAAAGCTCAATAAATAACAAAGAAGACCTTTGACCGGCACTTTTATAATTTTGTCGGAAGGTTTAAACTTTAATACACATTGACTGGCAAAAAACTCTGCCCGGTTCCCTCGGCCCCCACCGCGGAGAATAAACAGAAGGGCAACCATGACAACAATGCTTCTTCGCTGCTTTTGTGGAGGAAGTTACAGCGCCACGTACAGGCTCCTGCATATGTACTGCAGCTTCTCCAGCGGTTGGAGCTAAACGGAGCGGTCTCGTGTGGACAGACACTATCCGGATAACTATTGCGTGTGGACGGAAGCTTGTTTGCGATTGCGTTTGCGTTAATCCTATGCGTTTAGCCGTTTTCGTCCTCGTGTGGCCGGGGTCTAAGATGAATTAATGCCAGTTTAAAGTTCTGCACTTAACATGGCAATAACTATGATGCTTTGTGAGGTCAAACAACGCACCTGTGTTCTATGTCACTGGAATTACTACAATTCCGCATTGATTGGCTCACATTATATGGAAATTATTGAAAAATACAAGACCTTTCAATGTAAAAACTGCAGATTTTGTCCAGTGTAGTAAAAATAATGCTCGATTGACATGGAGCCGCATGACTTTTACATACAAACTGATTTTAAATGCAGGACTTTTACTTGTAACGGAGTAGGTTTACACTTTAGTATAGCTAGTTTTACTCAAGTCCACAATCTGAGTACTTCTTCCACCACTGATTTATTGATATCTAGAGACACACATGGATCAGCGGTGCCTCTCTGACCTGTGCCCGGCTGAGGACTGCCTCCCTCGGCTCTTCTCCATCCTCCTCCCCCAGCGGCTGTGCGGTAGTCTCCTCTGCGGCAGCGGGATGACATGCTGCAGGTAAAGCTCTGTGAGCCGGTCCCGACTATCACAGCCTCTGGTGCTGACGTTTTTCTGATTCAGAAAGAAATCACTGTTAGCTCAGCTCATTCAAACTGCTGCTGATGAAACACACAGTTAGCCGGTATGCTAACATGAGGGTGTATTTCCTTAACCTACACATTCAATGACACTTTACACGTTTCTCTATAAACGTTAGCTCACCCCACACAAGACAAGCTGCAAAAACTCTTGGGACATCAGCTCAGGGTGCAGTAATAGATCCACATCCGAGGAGCTGGCTGTCTTTCCATCTTGTTCCGTGTAAGCCGCCATGCTGGATGCGTCACTTTTCCCGGCATGCACCGGTTTATAACAACACGGTATCTAATTCACTCTTCCATGCTATTTCAAAAGAAAATGATATAAAAAAAAGACATATTCTGTAAGAAAATACATAATATATAATGTAACAAAGACAAATAAGATGTAAAAAAACAAACATATATGATGGAAAAAATACCTATCGTGTACAAAAAGACATATATGCACTAGGGAGATTTAAAATGTATATTTACAATTCTTGTAATCTGTGTAATTAACACAAAGACACAATATCTCATGTTTCAGTGTTTGTGCAACTTCAGGAGGAGGACATTTTAATAAACTTTCAAGGTGATGCATTTGATACAAATATTGTTTTTTCTTTATTCAACTAATTTTATGTTGGAGAAATGTCGCATTTACAAGAATAAATTGAATCACTCTATACCACACAATTACAACAATATGACAGCACTATTACAAAATATAAAAAACAAAGAAGGCAATCCAAACCAAATCTGCATATCCCTTTTTTTCACAAGGGATGCAAACTGCATTCTCCTCGGTGAAGCTTCTGTGTTACTTTGCCAAATCTTTCCAGTCCTATTTGTCGTGTTGGGAAGTGTGTTTCACAGCTTCACATCAATGTACCTGAGCTTTTTGGTTGTGGACCAACAAACAAACCAAAACCAAAAGGTCCCAGAGCGAGAGCCAGGCATATAAAGGAATGAGTTAAAAATAATCAATGGTTTGCCTTTCAAATGGCTGGATGATTGGAGGGACAAACTGACCGACAACATGTCAGGAACTACTGCAGCATTGGAGGAGTTGTCACGTCCTCGGATTAGAAAGTTAGGGACGTAATTGATTGAGTTAGGGATAGTAATGTGATGTAAAGGCAACCATGAGGCCTTCATTTGTTGTCATGAGTTGGCACATTAGTAAAGATATTAGGGCATAATCACATTTTTTACTGATTGCATTGACTCTTTTTCAGTGTGTATACAGTTAATGGTAATGTTTGAATGTAAACAGGCCCGGACTGGCCATCGGGAGGACCGGGAGGTTTCCCGATGGCCTGGCCTGTTAAGTGGCCTGCTGGCCTGAGGATTTTTTTTTAAATGTATGTATTGTGAACGCAACGCTGCGCAAATGTGGGTCTGACTCTGCCTCACAGAGGGTGACTGGCTGTATACATAATGTGGCCTGCCGACATGGCCACTTTCATACAGATCATACTAATGCCCTCGATTGGTCTGTGTGTCATTCAAGTTCGGGAGGGTGTGTGTTAGTGTGGCGCGATAAAGCGTGCGCACCGGTTACGTGTATTGTTGTTAGCATCTGGTGCTAGCTAGCTGCGCTAATGGATATAAGGAGCTTTTTCAACAACAAGGTGGAGGAGAGTCCTCTCCTGTCAGACTGAGAGACTGATAACTACAGCTCAGGTGAGGTAAAGGACTCTGAGTGTTTAGATAGTTAACTTAGTCTAAGTTATCTCTGTGGGTCTCAAAGGGTTTGGTCACCATTTATGTAAACACATATTTCCATTTGAGGGGGGAGTGATTGGTAAAATATGCATGAATAATGCAAACAAAATGTTAACTAGGTGAAAAAATGTAAGATAAACTTGTTGAGAGCTAAAACTAGTCTTTGCTGCTGCCAGGAGAGGCTGGTTCAGGAGCACAGACACACTCACAACTATAAATGAACCAAAAACAAAGAAATAAACAAGTTTCAATGTTTTTTCATATTGGATATGGTATGTTATTGGTTATGGCCATGTTTTTATGATTATTTAAATGTATACAGTTCTGTTTCATATGGGTGTAGTCTCTTTATTTCCCCCTCAAAATGCACCAGATTGATGCATTTAAGTCCAACATTTAAAAAAATCGGGGGAGCATGCCCCCGGACCCCCGTATAGGATTTGAGGTCCACCTCCACTTAAAATATGTTCACATAGGTTCCTAAATAGATTTGCACATTTTTTTAAATAGTAACCCATGTCCATATGTTTATTTTTGGGTAATAGATTTAGAGGGCTATCACTACGGGCAGCAACGCTGTAAAAATGGACAAATAAAACTGGTAGTGGCCTGGCTGGGTGTATAATTCCCGGCCTGACTTATTGTCCCAGTCCGGCCCTGAATGTAAACCACCCTTTTACCGTAGGCGACACATCAAATAATCAAGAAGGGAGGAAAGTAAGTATTTACAGCTTTCAAGCTTTCAAATTGGAGATCAAATGAGTACGTGTTTTATCACTGTGGTTCAGAATATGTATAAAACAATCAGTCTTCATGAAAACATTTTTAATTTGTTACTTCTTTGAAGCATGTGAGTTTCAGGTCAAAACTGTTAAACAGTATCAGGGGCAGTGATTCAAAATGTGCATATGACCTTTAGATCTGACATCTTAAAGGTGGGGTAGGTAATTTTGGAGAAACCAGCTCGAGTGCGCTAGAATCTGAAAATACCGAAAATACCAAAATACACAGCCCTCCTCCAACACACACGAACGCGCACATGACCAATGAGGGCACGAGATAAGTTTGTGCACAGATGGAAGGCTGACAGGCAGGTAGGCCATCCAGTTACTTTAGCCGGGCCGGCTCAGATGATTGGTCGTGCTTTTTACAGCGCCACGGCTTCCACAGATGACATTTTTTAATGGATTTTTTGTCAAAGCATTTAAGATATTCATTGCTATCGGGATGTTAAGAGCATTCCATGGAATATAACAAAAAGTGTATCTCGAGCCGGTTTCTCAAACTGACCTACCTGTTGTGTCCCGTCAATTATGTTAGTTTGTTATGTATTTGTCACGTTCATGTTTGTTTTGTTTGTTTCACTTCCTGTTTTATTTTGTACTCCTTGTCTCATTCCAAGTGCCTTTACTTCCTTGGTTCTTGTTTCCCGCCATCGTCAGCGTCTGCTCCGCCCCTGATTGTTTCCACCTGTTCCCACTTACCTCTTGTATGTCCTGTCTCCCCTTGTCTGTTGTCAGTTCGTCATGCCAAGAAGTCAGATCCAAGCAGCCATAGAGAGACCAAGTAGGCTTTTGTGATATCCTCCATGAGAGCGTTTTGTTTTGTGACCATTTTGTCACTCCCTCTGTAAAGAGTGTTTCTTTGTTTTTGATCCATTAAAGTTTATTTTTCTTCAAACCTTTTCGTCTCCGGGTTGTGCAATGAGTCCTCATATCAGTGAGTCACGGTTCCTAACAGAACGAACTGACCAAAATATGGACTCAGCCAACCCCAAGACGCTGCAGACCGCCCTGTCCGTACAGGGTAACGTCATCCATCAACACCAGGAGCAGCTTAAGAATATGAGCCAAGGAGTTAAGGAGCTTTCAGATCGCCAGGAGGGTTTCCAGACCTCCGTCACTTCACAGGTGAACCATCTGGCAACACAGCTCCACCGGCTTCTCTCTCATCTGGAGGCAGCTCCCACAGCTCCGATTCCTGCTACTCCACCTGATGCCAATCCTGCTGTGAATCATGCCTTTCCTGTTCCACTGCGGTTGGCAGCACCGGAGAAATACTCAGGAGAATCGAGCAACGGCAGAGCCTTCTTAGTCCAGTGTGATTTACATTACCAACTTAATCCAGCAGCTTTTGTATCTGATGAGGCTAAGATAGCATTTATGATCTCCCACTTAATCGGCAGAGCTGCCGCATGGGCCACTGCGGAGTGGTCTAGAAATTCCAATATCTGTAGATCCTTCATAGCGTTCAAAGACACTATGAGCCGCATATTTTATATTACCTCACCTACCGGTGACGCCACTCGGGCTCTCATGCAGCTCAAACAGCACTCAAGGCCCGTAGTAGATTATGCCATAGAGTTCCGTACCTTAGCCATAGACAGTGGCTGGAACACTCCAGCATTAATAGATGCCTTCAGCAATGGACTCTCAGAGACGATTAAAGATCACCTGGCTCCATTAGAGTTACCACAAGACCTCGAATCACTCATTTCCACGTCTCTCCGAATTGACAATCGCATCAGGGAAAGAGAGAGAGAACGACGCCGAGTCGCAACAAGACCTCCCAGCCACCAGGGGCGCTCTCTGGGTAGGCAGTCCTCATGGGATTCCTTGTTCGCCTCTTCATCAGGCCCAGCAGTGACAGCGCCACCACAGGCACCGGACGAACCTATGCAACCTAGGCGACATGTCCGGGAAAAGGGCATGCTTACCAACCATGAGGAGGGCGTTGGTGAGCAAAATTTCATCTGATTATCCTCCTCGCACACTCACCCAGGTAGATATCACTGCCAATAGTCAGACACACACTTTGGGGGCCTTAATTGACTCTGGGGCTGATGAAAGTCTCATAGACTGGGGTCTAGCGAAACGTCTTGATATTAAGACTGTTCCGCTCAAACATCCCGTCAATGCCAGTGCCCTAGACGGCAGACTTATGTGTAGAGTCACTGACTGTACAGAACCCATGCAAGTGACTATTGACAATAATCATGTGGAAATGATGCAATTTCATCTGTTTGATTCTGCACAGCATCCGCTGATTTTGGGGTTTCCCTGGTTAAAACACACAACCCACATATAGACTGGTGTTCAGGACAAATTAAGGGATGGGGGAGAATTGTGAACAGTCATGTAAAGCTCCACGTACTGTTGCAGTGGCTGATAGTAGCTCAGACTTTCCTGACCTTTCCAAGGTCCCCTCTTGCTACAATGGCATTAAAGAGGTTTTTAACAAGACCAAAGCACTATCATTGCCTCCTCATCGTCCGTTTGACTGTGCCATCGACCTGTTACCTGGCGCACCCATCCCTAGGGGGCGCTTATATTCTATCTCAGGACCATAGCGGGCGGCCATGGATGACTACATCTCCTCCTCACTGAAAGCGGGGATAATCCGTCCCTCTTCTTCACCTGCGGGCGCAGGATTCTTCTTTGTGGGGAAGAAGGATGGGTCTCTAAGACCATGCATTGACTACAGCCCATTAAATGACATTACGGTGAAAAACCGCCACCCACTCCCGCTGATGTCTTCAGCTTTTTAACTACTTCAGTCAGCTAAGGTGTTCACCAAGCTCGATCTGAGAAATGCCTACCACCTCGTCAGGATTAGAGAGGGTGACGAGTGGAAAACGGGGTTCAACACACCTAGCGGACATTACAAATACAGGCAGGGGCGGCGGGTGCTGTAGGCTAGGGAAGGCTAACGGCCCGTCCACACAGCGGCGTGCGTTGAAGCTTCCAACGCTTCTGCCCATTCACTTTGAATGGGGTGACGTCACTTTTAGCCGAACTGCATTTTGGGAAGCGACGTGGAGCGTTGCTGGCGTAGCTGGCGTCAAAAGTTGAGCAATGTTCAACTTTTGACGCCTCGACGGAGGCGTCAGCCAATGAAATCCCGTTTATTCAAATCTGCCAGTACAATCGCTAGCCAATCAAACCGCGTGTATGCTGGGAGAGACTACGCAGGTCATTTCCTCATATTCAAAAAAATTGAGGGAAAATTCATTGTAGCGGTAGTGAATCACCCGGTGCTGTATGATCAGTCTCTGTTCATCTACCGGGATACAAACCGGAGGAGCGAGGCATGGAGGGAGGTGGCAGAGACAGTGGGTGAAACTGGTAGGTTTTCGCCTGTTTGGGGATTTTATATCCAGTTTACTTCGTTTTAACATTGCTATTGCTTTGTATGTCGAGGGCGGGAGATTCATGTGATTGGTTGTTGGTCGTGTTGCTCGCAAAAAATCCCCAAGCTTCAGATACGCCCACCTCCAAGCGTCAACGCACGCTGCTGTGTGGACGCTCCGTAAGCCTTCCCAAATATTTGTGTCACTGCATCCTGGTAAAATACAAATATGATGTAGGCTATAGTGTCTGTGTCTTTGACATTAGCGCTGCTAGCCACCTGTTCCCTGTACTACGAAGCCAGTTCAACATACCCTGGATATGTTTGAGTAACAAACAAACTAACAACAACAAACTAACAAACGAGATCTCGCTAAGTGGTCCTACGACGCTGGTTATCAACTCGGTAAATCAAGCCAGGGTTTCTCTCACCAGCTAAGAGCGCGTTCACGTGAAAGGGACGGGGTTAGCTACATTTGACCAATCACAAACAGGGACAAGTGTACTGACAGCGCAGCGTCATACTTCATTAATGAAAAGTAAACTAATATTAGACAAATATGAGCTTTAAACATCCATGACTTAAACATATAATCCAGGATACAAGCCACAGAGTTGCACCTGCAAGGAGAATACAGAACAACTGGTTAAAAAATAACTAGGCCTACCGAGTGTTTGAAAGCGTATAGTTTTATGATATCATTGCCCCATCTGACACGAGTGGATCTGACTTTAATTACATTTGACTCGAGTGTTTCGTCAACATAATGTGTTGCTTAAAATAATACTTCTGCTATGTGACACTGTAAGTGTTGCACGGCCAGATACGACTGGAGAAGCTGACTCAGATAAAGAAATATATGATATATTATGATATTATATGATCGATGATCTGATTGATGATGTAATGATAAGTGCGACACGTCGGCGTCTTCTCTGCATACGGCAGTTTAAACTGTATTTCCTTTATCCTGTAATATGACTTGAGAGATTTAAACTCCGCACACTGAGTTGATCTCTTTTCTATAGACGCCGGAGGCGGGCAGCGTCAGGTAATAAAAGTTATTTAGCCTTCCCAAACCTGAGCCTCACGCGCCGCCTATGAATACAGGGTTATGCCTTTTGGACTATGCAATGCTCCTGCTGTTTTTCAAACTATGGTCAATGACATTTTGAGAGAATTTTTGAATGTGTCTGTTTTCGTGTATTTGGACGATATTCAGATTTTCTCTCCAGATATTCAGTCTCATGTCAGGCATGTCCGCCAAGTCCTCCAGAAGCTTCTGGAGAATCAGTTGTATGTGAAAGCTGAGAAGTGCGATTTCCATGCAACCACTGTCTCTTTCCTGGGCCACATTGTCACCGCCAATCAGGTCCAGATGGATCCGTCCAAGGTCAGTGCGGTGACCGACTGGCCTACTCCAGATAGCCGCAAGAGAGTTCAACAGTTCCTGGGGTTTGCCAACTTTTACCGAAAGTTTATACGCAACTTCAGTTCTGTAGCCGCTCCTCTCCTCCTCACCTCTTCTAAAGTTTCCTTTCAGTGGACCCCCCAGGCCGAGTCTGCTTTCCAGTGCTTCAAGAAAGGATTCACCACGGCACCCGTACTCACTGTTCCGGATCCCCAGAGACAGTTTATGGTTGAAGTCGACGCGTCCAACGAGGGCATAGGGGCTGTGTTGTCCCAGAGGTCCTCCAAGGATAACCGGACGCACCCCTGCGCTTATCTATCGCGCAAGTTGACCTCAGCTGAAAATAACTATGATGTGGGGAACAAGGAGTTACTAGCTGTCAACGCAGCTTTGGAGGAGTGGAGACACTGGCTCGAAGGGGCGGAGCAACCGTTTGTTGTGTGGACAGACCACAAGAACTTAGAGTATGTCAGAAAAGCCAAGAGACTCAATTCACGTCAGGCCCGGTGGACTCTGTTCTTTAGTAGGTTTAACTTTACGTTATCCTGTAGACCCGGTATGCAAAACCGTAAGCCAGACGCACTGTCTTGTCTCTTTGAGCCTGTCCCTAATGCCAAGAAACCTGAATCAATCCTTCCACTAAACTGTGTGGTTGGGTCGGTAACTTGGCAGATAGAAACAGATGTGAAGCAGGCTAATGTTGTGAGCCCGGCACCTAGTGAGTGTCCAGACAACTGTTTGTTTGTCCCTGTGTCTTTACGCTCTCAGGTAATCCACTGGGCTCACACGTCCAAGCTCACATGCCATCCAGGGATCCGGCAAACTATGTTTGCCATAAAGCAGCGGTTCTGGTGGGAAAAGAGGTCTCTGAATATGTGGCGGCCTGTCCAGCGTGCGCCCGGAATAAGACTTCTTCCCAGAAGAATTCCTCTGCTCAAACTTCCCTCTGCCAAGAAAACGGCAGAGGTCATGCTTACTCATGTGTTCAGAATTCATGGTTTTCCCAGCGACATAGTTTCAGACAGAGGTCCTCAGTTCACTTCCATCTTCTGGAAGGAGTTTTGCCAGCTCCTCGCCACTACCATCAGCTTGTCCTCCGGTTATCACCCGCAGTCCAACGGTCAGACAGAACGCCTGAATCAGGACCTCGAAACCTGCCTCAGGTGTCTCGTGTCCCAGAAGCAATCCACTTGGAGCGATCATCTGACCTGGGTAGAGTACGCTCACAACACTCTTCTATCGGCTGCCACTGGTCTCTCCCCGTTCCAGTGTGCGAACGGATATCAGCCCCCTCTCTTCCCTGCCAATGAAGAAGTCAAGGTGCCATCCACGCACGCTATGGTTCGACGCTGTCAGCGGGTCTGGGCCGGTGCTCGGCCCTACTCCGGACCTCGACCCGGATGAAGTCAGCGGCGGATCGTCACAGACCTGCGGCCCCCCTCTACAAGCCGGGACAGAAAGTCTGGCTCTCTACCAAGGACCTACCTCTTTATGTTCATTCCAAGAAGTTGGCACCGAGGTTTGTGGGTCCTTTCCCAGTCTCAAAAATCATTAACCCTGTCTCTGTGCGCCTCAAACTCCCCAGGTCCTTGGGGAGTCATAAATTACTTCTATGATCGCCACCCTGAGCAGCCTGGGCCGTCGGGAGTCGGCCCTAGAAGGGGGGGGGTACTGTTGTGTCCTGTCAATTATGTTAGTTTGTTATGTATTTGTCACGTTCATGTTTGTTTTGTTTGTTTCACTTCCTGTTTTATTTTGTACTCCTTGTCTCATTCCAAGTGCCTTTACTTCCTTGGTTCTTGTTTCCTGCCATCGTCAGCGTCTGCCCCGCCCCTGATTGTTTCCACCTGTTCCCACTTACCTCTTGTATGTCCTGTCTCCCCTTGTCTGTTGTCAGTTCGTCTTGTTCGTCATGCCAAGAAGTCAGATCCAAGCAGCCATAGAGAGACCAAGTACCTTTTGTGATATCCTCCATGAGAGCGTTTTGTTTTGTGACCGTTTTGTCACTCCCTCTGTAAAGAGTGTTTCTTTGTTTTTGATCCATTAAAGTTTATTTTTCTTCAAACCTTTTCGTCTCCGGGTTGTGCAATGAGTCCTCATATCAGTGAGTCACGGTTCCTAACACTACCCCACCTTTAAGTGATTAATCAATTGGTTAACATTGTTTATACCCATCTAAAATCTAATAATCCAATCATCTCTTTAACTCATTTGAATGCCCCTCAGTTATAAGAATGTGCTTCTTTCCATAATGACAGCAATTCAAATTCTTTGTTGGTTTCACAATATGGGCTCTAGGGAATTTTGACGGAAAATGAGAAACGTTCATTATCTTGTATTAAAAAAAAAACACCATTACATGCATTGTGCACGCTGTGTAAATAATTGTAAACAAACGCTTCAATTTCACAGCAGCAGTTCTCCTAATATCTCAAATATTTCTTCCACCCACTGTGGATCACACATCTCTAATTTGTACAGCGATAAAACAGAAATTCAGTCGGTAATTCAGCAGGAAATGTATCAAACTTAATTATCAATCAATGTTTATTTATATAGCCCAATATCACAAATGTTACATTTGTCTCAGTGGACTTTACAGTTTGATTATCAGTGAAAGAGCAGCACCACCTTCCTGTTGCATGCTGCACAGCAACATGACCCATGCCTGAGACTGTATTGTTAATGATGGTACAGTATTTCAGCTTTATAGCACTTATACATATATTTAAAAATCAATCAAGTAATAATGTTTCGATACCAAAATGACACACATATTTTTGGAGAATAAATTCAAGCCACAGTTTATTTACTGCTTAAATTAAAGAAAAAATACAATTTCTGGGCTGATCCAATGGGATTATCTAACCTAATAATAGTAATGGTGTCTTCACAGGTCTCACAAAAAAATCCCTTAGAAAGCTGCAGCTAATTCAGAGCGCTGCTGCTCGAGTCCTCACTAACACAAAAAGAGTGGATCACATCAGTCCAGTTCTGAAGTCTTTAAACTGGTTTCCAGTCTACCAAATAATTGATTTTAAATTGCTGGTTTTTAAAGCACTAAATGGTTTAGGACCTAATTATATTAACGATCTCCTGCAGAATTATGAACCATCCAGGAGTCTCAGGTCTTCTGGGACGGGTCTGCTCTCTGTTACGAGAGTCAGAACTAAGCATGAAGAAGCAGCGTTTACTTTTTATGCCCCGACCATCTGGAACAAACTCCCTGAATCCTGCAGGTCAGCTGCAACTGTTAATACTTTTAAATCGAGATAAAAAAACGTATCTTTTGGACGCTGCATTTGGATGAGTTGTTCAAATTCACACTGCAGTATGGCTTTTATTCATGTATTTTATACCTGTTGTGTTTATTGTATTATCTTTGCTTTTTAAAGGCCTGTCTTTAAATGTAATTTTATAATGTGCTTCCACTGTATTTATTCTTAATTATCTTTTATTTTATTTTGTAAAGCACTTTGGGTTGCTGTGTGCGGAAAGGTGCTGTATAAATAAACTTGCCTTGCCTAATAGAATTAATTAAACGCAAGCCATTGTGTGTATTGTCTTCAGTGAAGGAGACATCCACTCACAGTGAAAGGATGACTTTAGTATCCCAGCAACCTATTTTTCATTTTGTACATTGTAAAAGCAGCCATTTGTTTTTTACCCAAATAAATTAGCATTCTGTCAATGCGACATCTTTTAAAAATTGCATTTATTTACCTGGTTTTTGTTATTCATGGAAAGATGATACATTCAAGTAAACATTCACAGCTCAATAACTGGCACACGCCTTATACACTCATGGTTTTAAATTACAATTTTAAATCACACAAGGTTGTGTTTCTGCACAGATATCATTTTAAACAATGTATTTTTTAAATAAGACGTCAGTTGAAAAGCTTACAGACTGTCCCTTGAAAACATTGCTGAACATCAATACCCTGTATGCTTTTTTTGTGTGAAATGCATCACATAACTCACAAGATAATTATTATTACAACTACTTATCAGTCAGAAGAAACAAGATAACATTCATGAAACAATTCCGTCACAAACTCGGAAACAAAGAGGTGAATTGACAATGAAGGATATAAAACTGTTTGGATGGCAGTACGTTTCAGGAACATTAATAATAACAACTTCTGGAGCTTTCAATTAAATCACGTGACCTTTCTCTGTGGATGTCCAATTGTCATGGAGTTGTTCAAATTGTAGATCTGTGATCACTTTAAGAACTTTTCATCCATGGTGGCTTAAAAATTCTTGAAATGAGTTTCTTTAGTCAATAACCAGTATATTATTTTACGGTAATTTAAAACTTTCTTTTGGTTAGAGGCCTGAAATAAGGTCTTTGGTTAACACAAGCTTATGAGATTCTGACGGGTTTTTCTACAACATAAAATACGTCAGTAAAAAACAACTTGTGAATTTCCGGAGCTTTTATGTGTCATAAAAACGGCAGTTGCTAACAAATGGCTCAATAAGATTACTAAACGTCATCACCCCACACTTGAGTCCGCCTTTAGCTCAGCGGTGATGACCTGCAGCCACGTGACAAGGATGTAGATTGTTAGAGCCTATTGATAGCTTTTTACTTCTGCCGGTTGCAGTTACGCTCAAAATCAAAGTCGTGATAATCGTCAAGTTTATCCTGCTGAACAAAACATGTTAAGTATCATAAATGTGTATTTACCAAAGAACTTAATTTCTGCAGTATACCAAAATCCAATGAAAAAATCCTTTACTTTTTGTAGAGGGAACTCTTGCTATGCTAACTTCTGGGTCTACCTATAAAATACTTCATCTCTGCACCACTCTATTGCGGATAGTCAATAATGTGATGTTTTAATTAGGGCCGGGACTCGATTAAAAAAATTAATCTAATTAGAGGCTTTGTAATTAATTAATCGAAATTAATCGCATTTTTAATCGCATATACATATTTGACCTAAGAACAGTGAGAAGCAATTTTTTTTCACATGGATTTTAGTATACCATTAGGCGTATTCACACCGCAGTACTTTTCCCACAAAGGTTCATGAGAACTTAGTTCATGAGAACTCTTTGAACCTGAGGGTGGATTAGGCAAATGAAGCCGCTGACGTCACTTCTTCTTCTTCTGCTTTGGGTTTACTGGCAGGCCGCAAACCACTTCACGGCGTATACTGCCGCCCAAAGTCCCCGGCCGGAAGTCCCCGGAGTTGGGGAAGGCTTCAGTAGAAGCTGCTGGGAGTCCCAGCAGCTTCTACTGAAGCCTTCCGAGTAAATCGCCAGAACGCCGACACCTCCTCATCTCCACCGCTCCCATGTTTTATTTTGTGTTGCCATAAGTTAGTCTCTCTGCGTTTCTGCGCTGGGCTAATGCTAATAAAACTAATGCTAATAATGCTAATGCGAGGATAATAAAATGGCGGCTTCACAAAACTTTTTGGGAGTTTTACGGGGCGTGGTTTGCAATCCGCCCAGCCAATCAGAAATATAGCTCTTTTCTCACAAGAGAGCCGTACGAAAGTCCCTGCTCTCTAGCAGCTCTCTGCTCTCTAGCAGGGACTTTCGTGGGGGTAAAAAGGTTCTCATGAACTAATTTTAGTACCGGCTCTTTTTGGTGTGAACGCGATAAAAGAGGCTAACGTCCACGCTAGCTTCCACGCTAGCTGCTATATGTTTTACATTGAGGTGATACTTGAGGCTTGATGTGCTGCGGTGATATGCGAATTCCTTTTTGCATAATTTGCACACAACCGTGCTCTTATCGACGCTTCCATCCGTCCGTTTTTTAAAACAACATTTCCCACTGTTGTTCACTGTGGTTTGTTGTTGTCTGAAGTCATGAACGTTAGTTGGTGCTCCAGTATAATCGGTACGCCTGAAACTCATCCAGTGAGAAACGTTCCGCGGTGCAAAAATAAGTGCGATTAAAATGCGTTAATTTTTTTAACGCGTTAATTTTTGTGTAATTAATTAATCTTAATTAACGCGTTAAAGTCCCGGCCCTAGTTTTAATGTCTTATTATTTATGTTGATCCCAGGTAGAATAGTTGTTACTGCAGTAATCGCTTTTGGCAGAGGAAACCCTTGCAATGCTAACTTCCAGGTCGGCCGAGGTCATCACTGCACCGCTTTATTGTGAGGACAAGGGGTCCAAACTATTTTTCTGGGTGTCAAAGCCCACTGGTTTCACACAGCCGACTGAGTCTCGCTGCACACGTAGATATTGCTCGGCCTCACCCTCCTGCGGCTCCTGCCCGGCACCCTGGGACACAGTCTGCAGCTCTTGGGTATAAACTCCTGACAGGCCTCCCTGAACTTCCTGATCCTCCAGCAGTAGATGACGGGGTTGAACACCGTCTTCAGGTAGCTGAGCCACAGAGCGCCTATGCTGATGGGGTAAAACACGGAGCTGTAGTAGAACTGTCGACTGAACACCGCCAGCAAGCTGACCACCGTGTGAGGCAACCAGCACACAGAGAAGCCCACGAAGAGGATGAGGATGGTGGTGAAGGCTCTGGTCTTGAAGCTCATGTCCACCTTGATCTGAGGAGGCCGCTGCAGCCCGCTGAGCCTCATCTTGCTGACCTGGTTGAGGGCTGGCAGGCAGGAGTGCTCGTTGGTGTGGTTGTGGATGCGCAGGGTGTTGCGGCGCACCGTGTTGAGGATGCACATGTAAGAGTACAGCATGACAGCGAAAGGTACAAAGAACACTGCTACTGCTAACAGCACTGTGTATCCACGGTCTGCCAGGGAATCACTGTATCCCAGCACACACTGCGGCGCCCAGGATCCCCCAATACCCGCCGTACTGGTCCTCCACCCGATCACAGAGGGCAGGGACACACACAGACTCAGCAGCCACGACCCTGCGATCAACAGTTTGGCTCTGTGAGGGGTCAGCTTGTCCTGCCGCTGCACGATGATGAGGAAGCGGTCCACGCTGATGATCAGGAGAATGGACACCCCCTCCAGGACGAACAGCCAGTACAGCATGATGGACGCCCGGCAGAACCCGCTCCCAAAGCTCCAGTCGGCGGTGGCCACGGTGACCGCAGTGAAGGGCATGCAGAGCAGGGAGAGCATGATGTCCGAGAAGGCCAACGTGGCGAGGAGGAGGTTGATTGCAGAACGCATGGCGGGTTTCTGGTAAACAATCAGACACACGATAGCGTTGCCGAGGAATCCGATGGTTATCATGAAGATCATTATGGCGGCAAGGGTCACCCGCAGAGTGACCGATATGAGGGGAGTCGCAGCTTCTGAAGGGAGACTTTCTGCTGCTTCCTCCACACTGTCCGGCCCCAGGAAGCTGCACTCCTCCAGCAGGCTTTCATTACAAAAAGCCATGGCAGCTTTTATGGAGGGATGTCAGCCCAGAAGAAGGTTCATGTTGATTATTGTTGTGGTGTGCACATTACAATGTCCTCCAAAAGTTGGTCTTCCATGGCAATATCTGAGATAGAAAGACAAGAATATAGTCAAATTGGGTTTCAAAGAATACTTTGTGATACAGAAAAAGTCAACAGGCATTACATTAATGTGCAGTCTGTCTCCTTTAGGGGACATGCTATGACTCTTTATAGCGCTTTTGCCTATTCATTTTGGTATCCGTAGAGCCTACCATTCCAAAAACTGTAGAATAAGACTTTTTAAGGGTTGCCTTGGTTACAAAACATGGGATTCAACATGTTATTCAGATTTGGTTCCCCTTCCTTTGTCTATACCAGTGTTTCTCAAACTTTTTCATACCAAGGACCACTTAACCAATTAAAAAACACTCGCGGACCACCTAACTCCACAAATATCCAAAAAACACATCGTTTTTCTAGAACATATTACAAATCGCCTAAAAATGGTACAAAGTGGTACAAGTGGCAACATGTGTGAAGAAGGTGTTGCGCTGGGCTATATCATGCAATTGAAAGTTAAACTTAAGCTCGCTCCATTGCGGAGATATTCCCGCGAGAGTGCGGAAAACTTAAATAGATTAATTTATTTCAAATGTGAAATGTTACCAATATACTCACGGACCACTAGGGGGCGCTCACGGACCACCAGTGGTCCGCGGACCACACTTTGAGAAGCACTGGTCTATACGAGCTTTGTCAAATATACCCTCACTACTTGAGAATGACCTTTCACTACATATAAACTACCTATGCAAAGGTGCGCCATATTTTCTTACAAGCCAATCCGAGCAGACTGGGCTATTTTGGGAGGGGTCTTAAAGAGACAGGCACTGAAACAGAGTGTTTTAGACAGGAGAAGGAATATAGATATAATCAGAGACGGTATAAGAAAAATAATTAGTTTTTTTCAACAATTTCTGGGTCAACATGTTCTAGTAGAAAACCCAAACCAAAAGGATGAACCTGAAACTTTTGTATATGTCTCCTTTAAATCAGAGTTGCGTTATCCTTCAAGTATATTAATCAGAGGAAATGTACTTGGTGATGCAGTGCAGTGAAAAAAGGAAGCAATATAAATGCTTTGTTATGATGCATATAGGTTACTGTTTGGCATGCTAAGAGTAAAACTATATTGAAAAAGACTGCTGTAAAGATGGTATCATAACAGATACCACAGACTGATTGGCTCATTAGATAGTCAGAGGATTTCAGCTGCTGCATGATCTATTACTCAGTGATAATTGTGCATTCAAACAGTGAGAGGAGGAATGACTCCCCAAGAGGATGAAGAAGTTACATAAGCAGACCGTCAGACACACACAACATGAGAGGTATCTCACATAGGAAAGACATGTGCTGCTCACAGAGATTGGATTTGGTTGATGATTAACAGCTGTATTGACTCACATGGGTGCATAAACAAACACACACACACACACACCACCAACCCTTCAGAGCACACACAGTCCGTGCTTCACACATGAGTAGAATTACGCACATTCACACAGCAGTGTAGTACACACCCATGATATAGCCTGTCTTCCTCAGACTCAGCAGAAGCCCAGTCTTGGATAATGCTTCACACTTTGATAAATCACATAGGTATCCTCAGGACACACAGGACTCGTCTGTTGCTATGGTTTCCACATCCTGGTAGTGGGACAGCGTTAGCGATACGCTGGTCTCAGAGGTTGTCCTGCAGGTGGACGGGCTCCTACAGGAACTGGGAGACAAGAAGAACAGATAGACATCATGACCTCCATGACATAAATCAGAATGAGAGATCAGAAAAGGTTCATTTGTCTTACAGAGGGGGGAAATACAGTGTAACAGAAATGTACAGTTCAGATCAAAGATAAAAAAAACGGATTTATTCAATATAGAGGCAAGCACAGGTTGATAAAAGTAAAAACGAATAAGTACACGTCCATGGTAAAAAGTACAGTAAGTAGCAGCATTTTGAAAAGACCAGTGAACATATAATGGTGTTGAGAGCCTACAGTCTATGGTTGAAAGTAGAGTAATATGTGTGTTTTGCACATAACAGTGATTATAGAATAACAGAATAACAACAGTGCAGTTTAGGTTTAGGGGTGAATATAAAAAAAATTCAAATCATCGATTGATTTAGTGATTATTCTCAAGATATATCGATTATTGGTTTCTAAAATGTCCACCTCAGTTTCTCAAAGATGAAGGTGATGTCTTTAAATGTCAGTTTATAATGATATAAAACAGAGATAAGGAGGACATCTCTATACTTGAGAGGCAGAAACACATTTCCTGACTTAATAGACTTCATAGTAGCTGCTGGTTATAAAATGATGATTGTCTTTGTTCTATTCAGACAGGAAGACCTTGCAGAGTGATCGTAAGCCAGCTGGCATGAAGCATCCTAAAACTGAAGCAGCCATCGTTCCATAAATTATTAATAACTGCTTTTATACTGTGACATTTCAAAATATCTTCTGTAAAAAATGGCCTGTGGATTCATTGATTTTTCTGTGATGGTAAACACAGTTTCATCCAATGTTCGAATTCAAAAATCAGAACATATCGCTTATAACATTTTGATAAACAAACGTCAAGAGTGCACATTTAATCTTAATAAATGATGGTTTTCTCAGACACACAGGTGGATGAAACGGTGCCTGCAGCGACTGAAGCTACATTCTTGCACAAGCTTCCTTATAGGCCACTGCATAGCGTTGCTCGTTGTTGCCATGGCAACAAGGTCACCAATTCCATGGCAACAAGCAGCCTGTTCTCTCATCCCTTATGAGCAAAATATTTTCCCTTTTACGTTTCACAGGATTTAGGAATAAAAAAATTAGCGTTTCAGTCTACCGCATTTATTTTTCTTTTAATTATTTTAATTAAGCAAAAATGCCTCAAAGTCAGGCACTACAAATATTGTTTTGAGGTCTTGTTTATGTCATTGTTTGTGTTGTATATTCAATAAAGATGAGCGATTACTCAGCTTGTTTGTGACATTTAAAAACATATGAATGTTGACGTATTTGCATTGCTTTTTTACTATGAGGTATTGTTTACTGTCTTTAAAACAAACGTATGTAATACTTTGATGCATACATTTTGAATTGTAATACATTTTCACCTTTCAAAATGATCTGGTGCAAATTAGGTCAAGAGGATAATGAGCAGCTTTGCCCTGCAGGGGGCTCCTGGCTGCTTACTGCAACAAAAACAGGTGGTTTACCTCAGCTGCTGCTTGACTGAGATTGATGTGACAATACAAACATAGAGAAATATTAGAGTTTTATAATATCGATTTGTTCATTTGTTTTCACTTTCATGTGTCTATGATTAACAGCATCCAGAAGCAGTGATACATGTAAGAGGATTAGTGGTATCAGCTCCTTGATGCAGGTTTATTTTCCTTTTTGTACAACCTCGTGCATAAAATACCATACTATATGTATCCTTATTTCAATAACCCATTGCTTACACTATTAAAACACATTGTTTTCACATGGCACCAGCACTGAGCCTGTACAGTGTGTCCTCCTCATATTTACACAAGAGCCTGTTTCCATCACCTGTGTTTCTCTAGTCTACTCAGCCTTTCTGTCAATGCAGACCATCATGAAAAAACACACGTCAAAGAGAAAAGACAACCTTTCACCAGTAAGCAACGAGCAGGGGATTAAAGCAATGATCAGATGCATTTTTGAGCATTTACTAAATATAAATAAGCCTACCTCGACGTCAGGTTTGTGATCAGGCTTCATGCTTGTCTCCTGACTCGACAATCGCGTTTCTCTCGCTGTGAATGTCGAGCTTTTCCCAAAAATATTCCACTTTGAACATTTTCCTGCCGGATCGATCGCCATCGTGCCTCCTGCGGATGAAGCTGACGCGAGGAGAGCAGGTGGTCCCTGACTTAAAGGAGCAGTGCGAGGTCATTTCACACATGCAGCATGTATCATATGGGATGCTAATTAATGCATACTTGGTTATCTGTGTGATGTTAATGTGTTTGTGTACACATTATAGTTTAACATGAAGTGTGTCTTTTAAAAGGTAGTCTCTTACCTAACGCAGCTAATAATAATAGTTAATTACATGTTGTCAAGTCTACTTACAAAGCAGATTGCACATTGGATTTGATAAAATATGCACATTAAGAAGATATATGCATGTACTTTAAAGTATGAGCTAATAAATGCCAGCAACTAAAACAAATGGTAGTTTATAAAACATTTTAGCTAAAACAATAAAGCACATTTCAAATGCCTAATATGGATTTGTACACACATGAATAACACACATATTCATCAAAAGGGTATTTAGATTATTGTTCTGGTCTTTTAGCCATGCACCAAGGGATGCAGTAAGAACAAAACAGGACACATTTAAATAAATATGATTTAAAAATACCTTACTGTAATTAACACTAATTTCAGGACGTTTGAATTCCTTATCACATAACCATGAATTCCAGCATGTATTAATTAAACAGTCAGTCTGTATGTTGGGTTGTCAGTCGATCATGGCATAAACAGACTCACATCCACTTCTTTAAAACATCCACATTTTAATTCTAGTTTTCTCATCTTGAACAGCTGTCATTTATAATGTATAATTCATTGAACAGTTTATTTGTGTTTTTGCCGGACCCAGGCCAGCCCATTGAAAATGTCCACTGTAGTGGACATTTTGTTAACATGCATCTCCTTTTACTCTTCTGAGCTACTCTATCAATCCCTGATGTGATGTACAGAGGACATCCCGGTCTTTCCAGTGATATGTCATTGGTTAAAATTGCATGCTGGGAAGTTCCTTTCTTTTCATCCAAAATGGCTGGCATACGAAAAACAAAATTGTATAGAAGCAGGAGGAGAAGTCAAATATTGTTGAATAATTGTCATTTTTACCATGAAAATCATATATATTCTTGTTTATTAACATGTGAGGAACTATATAATTAGTTCTGAAAGCAATTCAATAATTCAAGTTTTCAAATAACAGCCCTTTTATAAATGTCCATTCTAGTGGACGTCAGGACCGTCTTCATGGACTTTATGACTCAATATTGTTGCAGGAGACGGAACTGAAACAGACATTTTCTGTACCAGAAAGTTCAGGGAGATTCAGATTTTGAGCTCTCAGATGATGAGAGAGAGGAGGATTTCACACCTGGGATAGAAGAGGGTCAAGAAGAAGGGGGGAAAGATGCAGGAGGCTCCATGAGCGCACAGATAGATACATAGAGACAGATAGGGACGAGCTGGAAAGACATGGCCCTCTGTGGGCCAAGAGTAGCACGTATGTCTTATTGTTGTTTTTATTTTAAGTGGAGGCATGACAAATGAGAATTGCCTCAGGAATGCAAGCTTTGTTTCTATGAGCAGGTCAAATGGAGACCACATCCATAAAACTAGTCAAGATGACCCTACAGCCCGTGCCGACTGGAGTCAATGAGGTACTTTCCCACTACATTGACTACAAAGTCTTTGAAGATCTGGAAAGATTCACCAAAAACCAAACTAGTTTTTTATTGACCAAATAAACAGCAATGTTCAGATCAATTACTTATTCATGTTTTAAGTAAAGGTCAATGTATTATTGTATTAATATCCCTCTATAACCATAATATGTTACATAGTCCATCTGTTAATGTTGGCTGTCTTTTCAAACTAATATGGTCCCGACGTCCTCTACAGTGGACATACTGTAACATTTTAAAATAAAATAAAAAAAGTCTAAATTGCAAGATGTTTTTTTAACCCTAAATAGGTAGGAAATCACAAAAAAAAGGAAATTGGAAGACACTTTTTTTTCTCGGGTCCCAGGAGGATATGAACAGTGTCCTCATGCAAAGTAAACATTCACAAACATGCGTTAATGATGTTTGTCCAGGAGATGGCAGCATTGTGTCTTACATGCATTTGGCCTTCAGTTGAGGCTTTTCTGCAACTCTTATGTGTTGGTATGTTTAGGTTTTTATAGTATATGTCTTTTTCATTTACACTTTTCAAAGATGCACCACCTCTTCTTCAAACATCACATATCCATCATTCATTTTCCAGCAGCAGCCTAATCAATTGTTAAATAAATGATACCGCTTTGTATTTTAAGGAGGTTTTTCAGACATCATTGATATAATGCTGGCTGAATCCAGATGTGCAGAAAAACATCGATACAGAGTTGCTGAATGGAATTTATTGTAATTCATTTTGATTGATATAAGAACACTGTTGTATTTTCAGTACTAGTCACACACGTACGGATACACACTCACACAATTAGCATGCAGGCGGAGATCTTTTTCATGGGCATGCTTGTCTAAATTGGCATCGTGCCCATGTGTTGAACATGCCCATCAAACCAGTTCCACTCCAGCGGTCTGGCACATACATGCTCGTCACGTTCAGTGGCACCCACACAACAAGCTTGCTGGTGAGAGAATTCATTTCCCTCTCCATTATTCCACAGATGTTTGCTTTAATGTCTTCCTGATGGGGAGACTTTGGTACTCCATCATTCACCAAAAAATCAAACAGTGAAAACCACTAAATCAGAATATTCAGAGGAGACTCCACACACACGTAATAATATTGACTTTGAGATGATTGAGTCTTGTGTGGACTAGTTTCCCTGTTACATTTAGACATTTGAATACATTCACACAGAAAATTACAAGAATCTAAAATAAATTATTTTGACTTTTATACAGGCATGCTGCTGCTTCTGACTCCATGAGCGTTACCTCACACTGAGGAAGCCACAGTGTGTTAATCAGTGTTAGACTTTAGTGCTTAACCCATCTCAGCAATGTGGAAATAATTAACACCAACCAGTGAGGACTGATAATGTGCAACCCACAGTGAAATAGTTGTGCATTAACACCTGCTTTTCTTTAGTTTGTGCGTATGTAACACTGGCCCAAACTGTGAGTCACAAACAACATGCAGAAGGCGATTATCATGCCATAATTGCCTTATGTAAAGTACCTCTGAACAAGGCTTTAAGAGCAATTATGAGCAATCATATTAGCATGTTCTGTTGGGGGAGCTAATAACATTCTGACTGTTTCACTGATGAAAGAAACAATATTCCAGTGGTGATAATACCTCATGTAAGTACCACATTATGTTCGAGCACTTTCTACACGTTTCAGGGTGTTCATGTGAGCCTAGCCGTTTCTTTTGATTGATGGTTTTGGGTTCAGGTTACTGTAACATCATCAGCTTTTACCTTCAGATCCCCACATTAATATTCAGAGAGGACACCTAAGCGTTGTGTGATGACAAACCCCCTTTAAAGGGCTTTTTATCCCTCAATTCCAGCCTTATCTCCCATCTTTACATCGCTAAGCTTTGAGGGGATCACACTGCAATCCTGCGAGCTTAGATTTCGCCTCCATTTTTATCAGAGAATTCAGCATTTTGAAGCTCAGGGGGAATACACCATGTTACGAGGGACCGGTAGATGATTACTGTGATCTGTGGTGCCACCTTTCCACCCCTGTGTGATGTTGATGTGTAGCTGAGAGCAGGCAGAATGGTTCATTACATTAACATTGTGTGTTTATGTGAAGACTGGGATAGGTTGTTATGACCGAGCGCTGTGTGTTCTAGCTGTTTTACATTCAGTTACTTAATGCTGACAAGCTTTGAGCGTCATCATTTGGTGAAGAAGAAATGTGCCAGTAAAAGTGTTTTTAGTATTTTTTTCAACATCATCGTCTGGTGAAAATCTTATTTGGCTAATTTATGTGAAGCTAAAGCAATTTTTAATCACTCTGTCGTTATTATTTTACTTTTGTCTGCCCAATAATAAGACAGTTTTCTCAGGATTTTATATCAAAACCTGTGTATCTATTGTATCTGCTTTTGTATGTGTCAGTCACACAAGCTGGGGAAGTTTCATTAGCATGTATTCTTTATTTGTAATCGTCTCCCCTTTAACCTACTACTAAGGGATTGAAAATTAACCAAGAGTTACTGCTAAAGACCGATTCAAGCCACCCATTCATGCAGGCAGGCTGCTATTTATACGAGTTTCCCCTTAAATCCTGCCAAATTTCAGCAAAGACACACACACACACACACACACACACACACACACACACACACACACACACACACACACACACACACACACACACACACACACACACACATACCATGTATACATCACTTCAGGGGACATTACATTGACTTACATGCATTTCCTGGAGACTTATCCTAACCTTAACCATAACCAACACATGCCTAACCCTAAACCTTACCCTTAACCTAACCCTTACCCCTAATCCTAAACCTAACCAAGTCTTCACCCTAAAATTAATGATTCCCCTCATGGGGACCTCCATTTTGTCCCCATAAGGGAGGCGAGTCCCCACACGTGACTATGTAAACATATTTAGGTCCCCACAAGTATAGTAATGCTAGACCACACACACACACACACACACACACACACACACACACACACACACACACACACACACACACACATACACACACACACACACACACACATACACACACACACACACACACACACACACATACACACACACACACACACGTAGAAACACGTTGATGTATCTCTCTTTCTAACACAGGTAGTGACGAAATTCATAAAAAGAATGACATGGTTACCAGAAGTGTGTGTATCAGTCACATGTTTTGTTTTTCTATGTCCATGTGGAAGCTTCTGAAAGAGAAACAGTGGCAAGTACTCAAACAACAATTCTAAATGTGACATTTGCAGTGAAACATTAACTTCCAGGTTTGTGTTTATTTCTGTGTGTTTTGTTCGCAGCTACTGTAACAGCCGACCTTTGACCTCCCTTTGGCCTTTTTTTCCACGACTCCCAAATGATCTTCCACATAT